GCTCCTCACCTTACGCACAGCTCAAAAATGAGCCTCCAGTCTCACATAAAAATCTCCAAGCTCCTGAACACAATGAACCCACATGTTTAACCTGATCTTATACACTCAACCTCACAGGAACCTGTGCACACACGCACACATATCTTTGATCTGACCCACTACTCTCACCCCCATGACAAGCATAATCTGCGATCTTCTAGACAAAAGCCAGACAAACACTTTGGCTCGCCCACCTCTCGGCTTCATTCTCGGCTTCACGCCACCGAAAACTTTAAAGGGGTCATATGATGCGATTTCAATTTTTCCTTTCTCTTTGGAGTGTTACAAGCTCTTGGTGCATAAAGAAGATCTGTAAAGTTGCAAAGACTGAAGTCTCAAGTCCAAAAGTTAAGAGTTAACCACACCTACCTAAAACGGCATGTGGTTGCCGCTCCTTCGTCGAATCCGCCGGGCGCCATTCTCGACCCTGCCGCCTCTGCTCACTCTAGCCCGGCCTCGGCTCACGCTAAGCCGCGGCTTCTGCTCACGCTAGGCCGCCGTGTTTTTCATTGTGAAAGCGAAACTACTTTGTTTGGCCTTCCAAAAGAGGACACGACTAGCCCGCTTTATAAATAATATCTTTTTAAGATTTTTCACTGGAAATCAGCCAGGGGATCCACTACCACTTCATGCTGTCACACTAACAAGCCTGTCAAATCAATTATTGCAGATGTATGGCCTTTATTATTTATCCTCTACAATCCGAACAAAAGCGTGGCTCATGATAGACATTCTACAATCCCCCTGTTCAGACTTGACATGACTGACAATTTTGGAATTTTACCATCGTCCCACTCACCCTACACTCGGCCATAAGCGTCCAACGCAGCACAGTCTGAACTCCCATATCACAAATAAAATAAAACAAAGACAAGTTTAAAATCAAGTTAAACAGATCATGTGATGACAAAATCTAATTTTATAACTTTATATTTACATTTTTATCTTTTATATTTATTTTATTACAATTTTCAGAACTCAAAACTTTTCATCCAGTCCAAAAAAGACTGCTAAAACTGCTAAAATTGGCTTCCACCTTCCACAAATTTCTTATTAAACAGTTGAAAACGACCAGCCCCATTTACACATTGGTATCTGTCCAGCCCAATCCCAGGCAAATAATAAGGAAGATGATTCAAAATAGTTCAAAAGTAAATAAAGATTTGTATAGTTCCCTAATTGCGTCACTGTAGTTTGTGGATTTATGAAAATGTCTTTATTGCAGGCTTTGCAATTAGGCTTTAATTGAAGGATGGGGCACTGCCAACTATATAATATATGTTGATATGGAAAGTTTACATTGGAGTTTTAAAGCTACAAGTGAAAAAGCCTGATTAAGGGTCAGTCAGATGGTACACAACGGTTGTGTAAAACTAAAATATGAATTATAATTAAAACTCTTGGGTAAAGCAAAACAAAAAGCTAAACAATTATTTGACCTCTTTAATATGAGCCTAGTTTAAAAAGAAAGAAAAAAGACACCTTTCCTAAAAGACGCTGCACAAATTCCCTCTTTGGGGGGAAAAAAACATGTTCTTGGCAGACAATGATTATTATTCCAAGACAAACATAACTTGACCCTCCTCTTTCTCATAAAATAATTTACATAAAAAAATCAGCATACTGTACAGATGTTTCTGATCAAAGGCACTGTGTTGCAGTTGAGAAATCAGTAGCTTAAAACATGTTCTTGGCAGACAATGATTATTATTCCAAGACAAACATAACTTGACCCTCCTCTTTCTCATAAAATAATTTACATAAAAAATCAGCATACTGTACAGATGTTTCTGATCAAAGGCACTGTGTTGCAGTTGAGAAATCAGTAGCTTAAACAAATCTGAAAATGGCTACCACACACTGAGTAACACATTCCACTCCATACACTTTAGGATAATCTCCATCCACACTTTCCCACTTTCTTTCTGAGAAAGGACTTTGGTCTGCTTCAGATCCTGCCTGGATAAATGGAGGAAGAGTTCACATCTCTCATAAATACCTGTAGGTTTTTTTCTCACTTGTTCTGAGTGAGAAAGAACCCCCCCACCACACCACACCACACCACACCACACTCTATGTGTTACAGGGGTGAGAAAATAGTTACAGAATCATTCATTATGTAGTAAACAAAGGTTGTGAGCTTCTGTTTTCGTTTCTGTTTTTATAGGCTAGCTGAGCATGTGACTGACAGGATGTGCGTGTGTGTTAATGATTGTTTTAATGGCTGCCAGCTCCCACCCTTTAACTCCTTTACTGTGTAAACACATTAGCACTGACAAACTACTACTCTCGTATAGATCTACATCCATTTGTTTTTTCAGACTTCCTCCAAAGGATAGTCCCTGTAATATTACACAATAAAACGATGTGGATTATTTAAGCTATCATTCTGAGGAACGAAACAGTAAATGCGAAAACAAAAACCCACCTACTGTGTATTTTAAACAGCATGTTGGACTGACTTCAGAGACCCTCTTCCGAGTTACGCAGGCAGACAGGTAAACAAATGTCAGCATGCAAACACCTGGTCAGCACCTGAACTGACAGCTGAACGCGGACGCACTGGACAGCGGAGAGCATCGACTGCACGCGAGTGATTCGCTAGCGGCTAGTGTTGAACATGAGATCAAACATATTTGGTCTTTCGCCAAAACAGTTTTCAGTCATCTCTTTCGAGGCCCGAGGGAAGCGCTTCTCACGATCGTTTTAAGGTCGACTAGTAATGAGTCCAACTCATTTTTATGAATCGGTTGTTTCGAAGAAATGGTTTCCGATTTTAAAAATAAACGCTTTTTAAATTACTGTACGTGATGATGGGGTCTCATATTACTTATATTATTATTGCTTTAACCGGTTCAGCAAAAACTGTACATGTCCAGACAAATTGCTGTTTATTGAAGTTCTTATTGCAGTTTAAATGATTTTTAATACAAATGTTTATTGTGGTTTGTCGTCCAGTTGGTTGCAGCCATGATTAAGCTCATAACATAATTTACCTATGTAGTTTGCAATAAACATCACCTGGCTTGAAAGGATGTTTTAATAAAATGCTGTTAAAACCTGCTGTTTTGGTACTACATACCATCAAGCTCATGTATCGAAAGAGACTCGGTGCGAACGAATTATTTTGAGAACCGACTCATCAGATTCATAATAAAGATTCGACTCAAGTGAACGATTCATTTGCGTTCGGGTTATTCCAAAGCTTGACAACCTGTCAACGAGTCCGATCAACACCTGCTTTACATTAAATTAACTTTAACGAAAATGAACCGAATCTGTCATTAGTCCACTTTAGATGTTATCAGCATCGGAAGCGTATGATTAGTGGACATTATACCTGTAGTAGTATACGCTAACATAAAAAAAGGTGTCTTTAAAAACACGCAGCACCTACCGTTTAGGTGAGTTTCGGGCCACACGTATCTTCGGCGAACACCACATTGATTCTACAGTCCGTCAGTCTCACGCAAAAATTAACGAAATTTCCTGAAGAACTCTCGATTCACATAGTTCAAACTTCAGACGTCTCCCATATCATCTCCGGAGTCCAGTCTGAGAAGCTCCACGTCGAGTTGTATTTCCACGTTTATCTGTTTTCCTCGCGCGCGACTTTCTGGAGGATTTGCATGCAAGCGGTGAACATCCAGAGCAATAATGCACCTCTGACACTGCGTGTATGAGCGGCAGCTCTACTTTTCCACAGTCAGACCATAAATCGCCGACTTTGAGCTGTAAATGAGAGACGTTTAATCTCAAAAATAAGTTTATTAAGCGAATGCAGAAATTCCCGCGGCGAGAAGGTCTGAGTGCTCAAGTCGTGCGGTAAGGTATCTTCATGAAAGGCGGTGAGGGGACAACAGCCAGTGGGAGTGAAAGAGGGCTGGTTTAGAAGAAGAGGAATGGACAGAGTGAAAGAAGACATTATGGTGGAGGGAAAAAAAGGACGAGGACCATCTGCTGGCGGTGGGTGTGAGAGTTCTCATAATAAAAAATTTAAAAAAAGAGTGGAAAATGGTTTAAATGTAGGCTAATGGATAGACTGTCTTAGGAACTGATTTATTGTCTGTTCATTGAGTTTAAGTCCAAACTAATCACCCCAAGCAAGTGCATCCCTCACCTTGTGACTTTTTAGTTAATAACTGTAACGAAAATTAGCAGACAGCAGAATTTCATTTATTTCCTGTCAGTTTATGGTGGTCTGAACAGGTTGGATTTTGGGACCATGCAGCTCTAGAATTAGGGGGCAATTTGTTAAAGCAATTTCATCTGGAGATTTTTTACAGCATCTACCGCCAACCAGCCCTTCGTTTTTATAGCAGGAGACGTATATTGACTTCTCTCGTTCTCCATCTCTCATTCTCCCCTCCTCTTTCCTCCTTTCACCAAGCAGAAATTTCCATCCCACCAAAACCCATTTCCCCAGAAAGTTTAAAAAGATGAAAGGATAAGGAAAAGAAAGGAGACAAAAGAGAGAAGTGTTCTGTTACAACCCTGCCCCTGTGAGACTGTCCGTGAAAGAGTCCGGGGATGAGAGAGATGGGGGAGAGAATAAGAGAAAGAGAGGGGTACAGAAAAGAGGTTTTCAAATGAGGAACGGGGAACCGGTGTGGAACTTCATATTTAACACACACAAACACAGGTGAGCGCGCACACACACACACACGCACAAATACAAAGCTCAGTGAGGTCTAAAATGTGGTCTGGCTGGCCCCCCTCATCTTTGCTCCTGTCCTCTCCTGACGCTGTTCCTCCCTCTTTGGCATTTAGTGTCATTCACTCCCAGTCTTTACCTCTTTAGCACTATTCTGTCTCTCTGAGATTCATAATAAAGATTCGACTCAAGTGAACGATTCATTTGCGTTCGGGTTATTCCAAAGCTTGACAACCTGTCAACGAGTCCGATCAACACCTGCTTTACATTAAATTAACTGTAACGAAAATGAACCGAATCTGTCATTAGTCCACTTTAGATGTTATCAGCATCGGAAGCGTATGATTAGTGGACATTATACCTGTAGTAGTATACGCTAACATAAAAAAAAGGTGTCTTTAAAAACACGCAGCACCTACCGTTTAGGTGAGTTTCGGGCCACACGTATCTTCGGCGAACACCACATTGATTCTACAGTCCGTCAGTCTCACGCAAAAATTAACGAAATTTCCTGAAGAACTCTCGATTCACATAGTTCAAACTTCAGACGTCTCCCATATCATCTCCGGAGTCCAGTCTGAGAAGCTCCACGTCGAGTTGTATTTCCACGTTTATCTGTTTTCCTCGCGCGCGACTTTCTGGAGGATTTGCATGCAAGCGGTGAACATCCAGAGCAATAATGCACCTCTGACACTGCGTGTATGAGCGGCAGCTCTACTTTTCCACAGTCAGACCATAAATCGCCGACTTTGAGCTGTAAATGAGAGACGTTTAATCTCAAAAATAAGTTTATTAAGCGAATGCAGAAATTCCCGCGGCGAGAAGGTCTGAGTGCTCAAGTCGTGCGGTAAGGTATCTTCATGAAAGGCGGTGAGGGGACAACAGCCAGTGGGAGTGAAAGAGGGCTGGTTTAGAAGAAGAGGAATGGACAGAGTGAAAGAAGACATTATGGTGGAGGGAAAAAAAGGACGAGGACCATCTGCTGGCGGTGGGTGTGAGAGTTCTCATAATAAAAAATTTAAAAAAAGAGTGGAAAATGGTTTAAATGTAGGCTAATGGATAGACTGTCTTAGGAACTGATTTATTGTCTGTTCATTGAGTTTAAGTCCAAACTAATCACCCCAAGCAAGTGCATCCCTCACCTTGTGACTTTTTAGTTAATAACTGTAACGAAAATTAGCAGACAGCAGAATTTCATTTATTTCCTGTCAGTTTATGGTGGTCTGAACAGGTTGGATTTTGGGACCATGCAGCTCTAGAATTAGGGGGCAATTTGTTAAAGCAATTTCATCTGGAGATTTTTTACAGCATCTACCGCCAACCAGCCCTTCGTTTTTATAGCAGGAGACGTATATTGACTTCTCTCGTTCTCCATCTCTCATTCTCCCCTCCTCTTTCCTCCTTTCACCAAGCAGAAATTTCCATCCCACCAAAACCCATTTCCCCAGAAAGTTTAAAAAGATGAAAGGATAAGGAAAAGAAAGGAGACAAAAGAGAGAAGTGTTCTGTTACAACCCTGCCCCTGTGAGACTGTCCGTGAAAGAGTCCGGGGATGAGAGAGATGGGGGAGAGAATAAGAGAAAGAGAGGGGTACAGAAAAGAGGTTTTCAAATGAGGAACGGGGAACCGGTGTGGAACTTCATATTTAACACACACAAACACAGGTGAGCGCGCACACACACACACACGCACAAATACAAAGCTCAGTGAGGTCTAAAATGTGGTCTGGCTGGCCCCCCTCATCTTTGCTCCTGTCCTCTCCTGACGCTGTTCCTCCCTCTTTGGCATTTAGTGTCATTCACTCCCAGTCTTTACCTCTTTAGCACTATTCTGTCTCTCTGGTTTTGTCTGAACTTGTTTTGTATGCACTTAGATATTTCAACCCCAGGGCGTATTGGTGAGATTGAAGGAGTGAGAATGAGAGAGAGCCACAGGAACAGCGAATGATTGAGTGCGAGGAGTCACTGAGGTATTGAGCGAGATGACAGGCGAACAAAGGTAGAAAGGGAAAGAAGGGACAAACTCAAACGGAGGTACAAAAGTTCTTTCACACACTCGCACTCTGGCTTAACACACACATACACGCACATGCACAGAGAGTTCTGACACCTTATCTTTAAAGGATAAAAATAAATTTCTACATATCAGTTAGGCAAACGGTCTCAAGTAGTAGTGTGAACCTGCATTACTTGTTTTTGTGAAAGACCTTTTACTACCCTACACCTATACAGGGCAACTCATCAAACAAGGACTGCACTGCACGTCACTGACACTGTCATAGATGAGAGCTTCTGATGAAACTGCACGTCTTTCAGATGCCGAAACAAATGAAATATGACCTTGAGCTTTGCAAGAGACACTCAATAAATAGATGCTTATTATCATTATAGTATAATTGATGTACTATTATAATTATTTTATTTATTTTCTGTTTTAATTTTTATTTGAAAGTTTTAGTCATTTTGTTGTGTTTTTGTTTTTAATAAAAAGTTTTTTTTTTAATAAATAATAAGGTTTTCTATATAAAATATGTCTATAGTTTTTAATTGTTATTGTTTTAGTGTTACTTATTTTACTACATCAAATTAAACTAAATGAAAATGAGAGATGCACTGGTCGGCTGGTTACAAATCGGAACCGGTTTTTAGTTTCATTTTGGTCAATTTTCCAGAATTGCACACAAACTGCATTGCAATCATTTCCCAAAATGTAATTTGGCTGAATTTTTATGAAGTCTATAAAGAGGAGAAAATACTGTACCAAAGTCCCTTTAAGGCAAGTCATGTCACTCGGTGGCCATCTTTGAAACGCCTCTCGGACATGCAAGTGCAGCTCCTATCTCTTTGAATGGGGAAACATCAAATTCTCAAAAACTGTTCACCAAGCTTACGATTAAATTTCATATTTGAAATCACCAATGAAATCTGACAACAACTGTCTCATAAATGTTGTTTCTTCTGCTCAAATAGCGTTAAAAAAGCATATTTTTCAGGATAGACCAGCCAGTGCGCATGCGCAGTCCTAAGCGTGCATCTCAGAACGCTGACTATATCTATAGCAATGATGCGTGGAATTTACCGATTAGCGATTGGCTCTTTTGCTCAGAAGGTAGGGCTTCGTTCGATAGAACGGCCATATTGAGCGTTGCATTTTTCCCCGTTCAAAACTATAGGAGTGACACGTCTTGGGTTTTCGATGCTCGATATAGCCTATAGGATATGAATGTATCTCTGAGAGGAACATGCATCTTCAGAAATGTTTTGATGGCATTTTCTTTTCCTCTTACCTTCATATAATGCATATTAAAGTAGTTTATAAGCACAACTGCTGTTTACAGCTGGTAACCTAGGAAACTCTATATTGCTGCTCTTCCTTAAGTGGCACCTGATGTCAAGATATAAAGAACAAATGTAATATTACTTATTTATTATTTAATCATTTAAATGTTATTATTAATAAATTATTCTTTCAACCTTTGGAAAATTTTTTTAGTAATTATTTTACTTGCAGTACATTTGTTTTCTTTGTGTCCCTTGCTCATAGTGTGTGTCTCAGATTTATTTCCATGGCAATGGATATCCCACATCAAACCTCAAATATCAAAGCAATTACAATCTGTTACATAGCCATTATAGCAATTATTGAAAATATCGGAGCTGTCAAGGAAACCATGTATGCTGTTCACAGATGCTCTCCTGAAATTGAGGTTAGATTTATGGTCTCAAAGAGGTGTCATTCATTCATTAAATTAATTTTTCCTCTCTGTATCCTCCTTCACGCACATCAGTTTCATCAATTTCTTTCATTACTGTACCTCGTGAACTCAACCGCTCCACCTTACATTACCCCCATTTTCTTCACCCCCAGCACCACCATTACCTCTTTCCTGGTGTTCTCTCTTTCTCTCCTGCTGTGGGCCGCAGCATGTGTTTCCAATTTTGGCTGTAATGCACAGTTTGCCGCAATCTGACCTAATTAGCCCCTGTCTTGTGGATCCGCCCTCAACAGCACCCATCATGGCAGACAGGCTAGAGGTCAAAAGTCAGGCGTCATAGGTGGGAGCACGGATCGGATAAGGGGGCAGCGCCTTTGATTGATGTGTCAGGTCCCGCAGCATTATGGGCGTGTTTGTCGGTGACCACCTTAAAAGCGTGACTGCTGTCATTTCTTAAGTATTTGGGATCAGAGAGTGTTACTGAGGCCTGAAATTGGATTTCGCAGTAAGACAAAAGGGTCAAAGAGGGGAGGTTAAGAATACAGGAGTCCCGTTCTTAACACAACACAGACTAAAGTACATAATCCTTAATCTCACACACCTTGAGATGATAGGTACTAGGTATCAGATCCGTGGAATGCCTTGCTACTGGGAAAGAGGAGGGATAGACCAAGGGATTTAAGAGGAGAGACTGATTTTAGGAATGTCTTAATTATGGGAACAGAGAACCTAACTCTCTGTTTAATCCTTAATGAGAAACAGCTTCATATGGAACAGAGGGAGGTAGAAGAAATGGTTGAACTTTAAAAGGAATGATAGTGCGCAAGGGAAAGCTTGTCAGCTTTATAAAGCACGTAAAAGTGTGGCTCCACGCTGTGTGTTTGCTGTAAACCGATATGATTACAACTCATACGGAGCCCGTTTTTATAATCTCACCCTCAGCCTCGCTTTACAATCCTCATAACAGCAATAGAGGGAAAGCCATTAACAGAAATACATTCAACAAGCAACTTGCATGAAATATTCCACCACTGATTTGAGTATGGAAATGGGGTTACCAGTCTTAATGGGTCTTGGTTGAGCACAGTGTGGTGGACTGCTGTCGCCACAGGCATCCAATGGGCTCTTATGGCATCTTAAGGGCTTTATGTTTTACTCCTTGAGTTAATCTTCACTTCACAAGTAGTGTCCTTGAGAAGATAAGCATAGACTGTGATTGTCTTTGAGGCAGACCTTGCATTCCTTCAATGGGGTCCAATATGTTTTTGGGGGTAAAAAATGTGGGTTTCAAACTCTACAAAGTAAAACCGAATGAATTCTATATAAACGTGCAATAATTTATGACCGTTTAAAAGGCCATAGAAACATGAATTCACACCTCAAGATGAGTTTTCTGTGTTGTTCTAGTTATTCTTGAAATTAATTTAGAATGAATTAAAACTACATGAAAATAAAATTCTCCCGCTTCATTTATAAAAAAAAAAAAAAAATTTTAATAAGAAGAGAATTTGTGAGATTTGCAACACTTCTAGGTGTTTGCATTTCTTTCTTTATTACAGAATATTTTCACAAATGTTTGCCTTCCAAAACCTTTCACATTTTCACTGTACCATTGAATGTTTGCACTTTTAAAATTCATAGAAACACCATCTGCTGTTGGTCAAATCGGTTGGGTCATTTTAACTTCTCTTGAGAATCTTAACCAAAAACTGCAGAAAAATTCAGAGGACATTTGAAAATAGGATCTGTATAGGCCTGTATAGGAGTTGAATCTGGTTTGGCTAAAGTTGAGCATAGGTTGTACATGTGTATTTGATTAAATAAATGTATTAATCTATATCAAAGTCCCTTTAAGGCAAGTCAATTCATTTGGAAGCCATTTTGGAAACACCCCCTTGCATCTACATCCAGCAGTGCGAATGAAGCTTCATGAAGCTGATTCATGAAACTGATTTTTCTATCAAACCTGAATGAAGAAACACTGTTAGTTGATATAATGTTTAATGACATGTTTTAAATTAGAAATAAAATAAAATAACAGTCATCCCTGTAGCTCAAACAGTAGTCCACGGCAGTAGTAACGCCAAGGTCATCGGTTTGATTCCCAGGAAAGTGTGAATTGATAAAATGTATATTTTGTATGCAAAGTAATGGTGCATTCTAAGATAAACTTACCAAAAAAATTTTTGACAAACACTTATCCAATTCATCTAACGTTGCAGACAATTTATCATTTCTTGCATTGGTCATATGATGCGATTTCAAGTTTTCCTTTTTTTTTAGAGTGTTACAATCTGTTTGTGAATAGATAAGATCCCTAAAGTTGCAAAGACTAAAGTCTCAAATCCAAAGAGATATTCTTTATGAAAGTTAAGACTCGTCCACGCCTCGTTTAAACATGCCCCCACATGTCTACGTCACTGTGTGGGAAGATTTGCATAACACCGCCCAAATGTTTATGCAAAGAAAGAAGATGTAACTTTAATTCTCGCTGTAGTATTGTTGCCGCCGCCATGTTGTGGAGACGCTGTGTGTTTCGTTGCGAAAGCGAAACTACTTTGTTTGGTCTTCCAAAAGAGGACACAACTAGAAATCAGTGGTTAAGTTGTATGTACAACACTGTTCCAGAACAATTCAAACCAAATATTCAGATGTGTGCAATGCATTTTACGGAGGACGAGGACTGTTTCCTGGGAGAGTAGCCTATAATTCCAGTAAGTTCAGTTCCCCTGTTTCCACTTCGGCGCACATGCTGACCCTATACAGTCTATGATGCTGACAAATAATGCTGACTCACAGCCTGTAAGTACGCTTTCATATTTAAAGGATTTGCCACTGACGATTCAAACGCGAGTTTTGAGCAGTGTAGAGTAGCACTTGTTGTTTCTCTGATCACAAATGCAGATATGGTTTTATGTTTACACGGCGCGGTGTAACGCGTAAAAAGACAGTATAAGTCATTATAATCAGTAATTATGTCCCCACTGGATGCAACAAATGCCTAGTTTATAATGGGTTTTAATATTTTTGTCTCGTCGCTCTGGGACACAGCATCACAGTATGGTAAGGGTCGTAAAATTTCCATCACACACTTAAGGAATTTGGCCAGTCACAATGCACTGGATAGCTGGCCAATCAGAGCACACCTCGCTTTACAGAACGATGCGCTAAGGCGGGGCATAGAGGTGTAGCGAATCAGCTCAAAGGGGAAATATGAATAATTAATCATAACTAGTTATAATTAATTATAAATATTTAGATCTGCTGTAAGCATGCATTTGACCTCTTAGTGTCAACTGTCTGTTAATTCTAAGAACATTAATTTCCTGGTTAAGGAAAATAACTTTCTTACTGTACCATACTACTCGGAGCATGTAGCAAAAATCTGCATGATTAGGGACTCCAGTTATGAGCAAACAATGAACCATGTCAAGTGTGATACAAGTAAGACTTTATTAACTACATAAACACTTAAACTAGTCTAACATACACACACACACACACACACACACACACACTCGCCACATGTCCTTCCGGACGCTCCCACCGTTCCTCACGCTAGCCCCCGGCCTCTGCTCACTGTAGGCCGCCGTGTGTGATGC